TTCAAAAGCGGCCAATGTCAAAATTTGTTCCCCCCAAATCGGCAGATTTTTGCCCCCCCCATCGACAACTGTTTGGAAAGCAGAACTTGCCTATGTCCTTTCTAAATGTAATTTTTTTCTAAATTAATATCGTCATTTTTGGCTCTTATGCGCATTGAAGGAATTTTGAAGCCAAGATGCAGAGGCCTCCTCTTGTTGTCTCAGACCCCCTCATGGGAGGTTCCTCCATGTTGGCGAAGGGCTTTTGATCCAAAAAATTGGACCTGTGTTTCAGTTCCTTAACTCGAGTCTCCTGAGCGGTGTATGACCCATACGGGTTTAGCGCTCACGCATGAATGTAATATAATAATGTTATCTCAGAGGGATCAGTATACTAATATTCACCAGTATATTAATATGAAGGATCTTGGAATTTTCATCAAGTTATGAGGGTTGAAGTGTGTTGCTGGTGGGATGATTAACTCAAATTATCGCCTCAAAACCACTTCAATTTTTAAAGATTTTCATTCCAAAAGTCAAAATTGTGTCCTACACAGACCAAAATCTATGAAAATATTCTTTATACGAGACCGGCCACCGAAACCAATTAGATAAATAAAACTGCCATAATAAAACTTGGAGACTCAATAATAAAGTCTGAGCTTTTTCCTGTAGGAAAACACATCAGCAGAAAAAAAATTAAAATCAAACACCTATTGTACAAAATCTAGCAAAAAAAATTGTGTCTATGCAATGTAAACTCCAAAAAAGGTTTGATGCATTTTCTAGATTAATATTTTTATTATGTACCTCATACCCATCCTGTGGGTGGTGGTCATACCATACCCATCCTGTGGGTGGTGGTCACACCATGCCCATCCTGTGGGTGGTGGTCATACCATACCCATCCTGTGGGTGGTGGTCACACCATACCCATCCTGTGGGTGGTGGTCATACCATGCCCATCCTGTGTGTGGTGGTCACACCATACCCATCCTGTGGGTGGTGGTCACACCATACCCATCCTGTGTGTGGTGGTCACACCATGCCCATCCTGTGGGTGGTGGTCACACCATACCCATCCTGTGGGTGGTGGTCACACCATACCCATCCTGTGGGTGGTGGTCATACCATGCCCATCCTGTGTGTGGTGGTCACACCATGCCCATCCTGTGTGTGGTGGTCACACCATGCCCATTCTGTGGGTGGTGGTCACACCATGCCCATCCTGTGTGTGGTGGTCACACCATACCCATCCTGTGGGTGGTGGTCATACCATGCCCATCCTGTGTGTGGTGGTCACACCATGCCCATCCTGTGGGTGGTGGTCACACCATACCCATCCTGTGGGTGGTGGTCACACCATACCCATCCTGTGGGTGGTGGTCATACCATGCCCATCCTGTGTGTGGTGGTCACACCATGCCCATCCTGTGGGTGGTGGTCACACCATACCCATCCTGTGGGTGGTGGTCACACCATACCCATCCTGTGGGTGGTGGTCATACCATGCCCATCCTGTGTGTGGTGGTCACACCATGCCCATCCTGTGGGTGGTGGTCACACCATACCCATCCTGTGGGTGGTGGTCACACCATACCCATCCTGTGGGTGGTGGTCACACCATACCCATCCTGTGGGTGGTGGTCACACCATACCCATCCTGTGGGTGGTGGTCACACCATACCCATCCTGTGGGTGGTGGTCACACCATACCCATCCTGTGGGTGGTGGTCACACCATACCCATCCTGTGGGTGGTGGTCACACCATACCCATCCTGTGGGTGGTGGTCACACCATACCCATCCTGTGTGTGGTGGTCACACCATGCCCATCCTGTGGGTGGTGGTCACACCATACCCATCCTGTGGGTGGTGGTCACACCATACCCATCCTGTGGGTGGTGGTCACACCATACCCATCCTGTGGGTGGTGGTCACACCATACCCATCCTGTGGGTGGTGGTCACACCATACCCATCCTGTGGGTGGTGGTCACACCATACCCATCCTGTGGGTGGTGGTCACACCATACCCATCCTGTGGGTGGTGGTCACACCATGCCCATCCTGTGGGTGGTGGTCACACCATGCCCATCCTGTGGGTGGTGGTCACACCATGCCCATCCTGTGGGTGGTGGTCACATCATACCCATCCTGTGGGTGGTGGTCACACCATACCCATCCTGTGGGTGGTGGTCACACCATGCCCATCCTGTGGGTGGTGGTCACATCATACCCATCCTGTGGGTGGTGGTCACATCATACCCATCCTGTGGGTGGTGGTCATACCATGCCCATCCTGTGGGTGGTGGTCACACCATACCCATCCTGTGGGTGGTGGTCACACCATACCCATCCTGTGGGTGGTGGTCACACCATGCCCATCCTGTGGGTGGTGGTCACACCATACCCATCCTGTGGGTGGTGGTCACACCATACCCATCCTGTGGGTGGTGGTCATACCATGCCCATCCTGTGGGTGGTGGTCACACCATACCCATCCTGTGGGTGGTGGTCATACCATGCCCATCCTGTGGGTGGTGGTCACACCATACCCATCCTGTGGGTGGTGGTCACACCACACCCATCCTGTGGGTGGTGGTCATACCATGCCCATCCTGTGGGTGGTGGTCACACCATACCCATCCTGTGGGTGGTGGTCATACCATGCCCATCCTGTGGGTGGTGGTCACACCATACCCATCCTGTGGGTGGTGGTCACACCATACCCATCCTGTGGGTGGTGGTCATACCATGCCCATCCTGTGGGTGGTGGTCACACCATACCCATCCTGTGGGTGGTGGTCATACCATGCCCATCCTGTGGGTGGTGGTCACACCATACCCATCCTGTGGGTGGTGGTCACACCATACCCATCCTGTGGGTGGTGGTCATACCATACCCATCCTGTGGGTGGTGGTCATACCATGCCCATCCTGTGGGTGGTGGTCACACCATACCCATCCTGTGGGTGGTGGTCACACCATACCCATCCTGTGGGTGGTGGTCACACCATACCCATCCTGTCGGTGGTGGTCACACCATACCCATCCTGTGGGTGGTGGTCATACCATGCCCATCCTGTGGGTGGTGGTCATACCACGCCCATCCTGTGGGTGGTGGTCATACCATGCCCATCCTGTGGGTGGTGGTCATACCATGCCCATCCTGTGGGTGGTGGTCATACCATGCCCATCCTGTGGGTGGTGGTCATACCATGGCCATCCTGTGGGTGGTGGTCACACCATACCCATCCTGTGGGTGGTGGTCATACCATGCCCATCCTGTGGGTGGTGGTCACACCATACCCATCCTGTGGGTGGTGGTCATACCATGCCCATCCTGTGGGTGGTGGTCACACCATACCCATCCTGTGGGTGGTGGTCATACCATGCCCATCCTGTGGGTGGTGGTCACACCATACCCATCCTGTGGGTGGTGGTCACACCATACCCATCCTATGGGTGGTGGTCACACCATACCCATCCTGTGGGTGGTGGTCATACCATGCCCATCCTGTGGGTGGTGGTCACACCATACCCATCCTGTGGGTGGTGGTCACACCATACCCATCCTGTGGGTGGTGGTCACACCATACCCATCCTGTGGGTGGTGGTCACACCATACCCATCCTGTGGGTGGTGGTCACACCATACCCATCCTATGGGTGGTGGTCACACCATACCCATCCTATGGGTGGTGGTCACACCATACCCATCCTGTGGGTGGTGGTCACACCATACCCATCCTGTGGGTGGTGGTCACACCATACCCATCCTGTGGGTGGTGGTCTCACCATACCCATCCTGTGGGTGGTGGTCAAAAGATAACAGAGGTACATAATGATAGCTGAACAAGTTACAGTGGTAATTAACTGTTTATATGTTTATGTCGTGTCGAATAGGTAAAACTTGCGAATTTGGCTTAAATAGCAACGTTCTTCTTGCCGAATAAGGCAAGCGAAAATTTATGTATGCAGTAATTTCGCATAAATCATTCTGACACTAACGAAAAAAATATATATCATTGTGTTTGTTTATTATTAAAGTATTGTAAACTTATCAAAAATATATTTAGTTGGAATAGGCTAAATTAAATTACGCTTGTTATAATAAGGTTAGGTAAGCTTTCTAAGGTGTTTTGGTAAAAAATTATGAATTTTTACATTAACATAAATGAAAAAATTATATATCTCTAAACGTATAAGAGAAAATTTGAGAAAGGACTTAATTTTAAACGAGTTCTTGCTAATTGACCAGTTTTACCTATTCGGTACCTTTATATCTGGTCACAGTCGTAATGAGTTATTTATGAAGACAAGAATTAGGACTCTCTCTCTCAGTATTGAGGTAGAGGAGGCAGGGCTTAAGGAATACAGGGATGCCTTTCAGGAATCACTGATAGACTGAGATGTATCTAGTTTACACTGAAGTATATGTTGATTTAAATAACATTTCATTAATTTCTTAGCACAACTGTTGCTGTTATTTGTTGTGCTGTTATGAGGAAGTTGGTAAAAAGTTACTTACTTTTCATAAACACTTCATATATTTGAGTTAATAAAAGTGAACTATTACATTAGCGTGAGTTAACATTGTAGTGCCACTGTATCAGCAGTCACCATAATGACAGGTTAGGTAAGGTTGGTCAGGAAACAGGACCAATGTCTTAGTCATATGTAGACCCGCTGCTGGAGCGTTTGATCATCTGACCGAGGCCTTCTGCTGGCTTACCGGTTAACCTTTTTCAAAATTAGGGTTATAAAGGTCACAGCAGTGTAATAAATCTGTGGAAATTATCATTATCAGAAAAATATTTGTTGTGTTTATGTTGTCATATGAGTTAGAAACATCGGAAGATCAATGAACTTAACTGACTATTGTAAAAATATATATGTTAATTGACACAAGTAGGACTTAAAAATACGTCGAAACAGCATAAAAAAATCAGATAAATCAGTGACTCAAGAACTAAAGTCAACAGAAGCAAGATAATATGTTGTTAGAAAAAGGACTCACCAATATGTGCAGGTTTAATGGTGTTGAGAGCAGCTTCTGCCTCCTCCAGGGCAGGACGAGCTGCCTCTAGCTTCTCCTCTGCCAAGGATTTGTCCTTGGCAATGTCGTTAACAAGTGCTTGAGCTTTGTCTCGTACCTTCTCTACCTCCTCCTTGATCGTCTCTGCTTCCTCGGCTCGACGAGTCACTTCTTCCAAGATCTGGGACAGATTGCACACTCTACTAAGCCTTGTTGCTATTCATCTAGAACTGAGTAAATGACGTGTTACTATAACAGCTAAGTATTACAAGTTGTAATATAAGCATGTGGCAGAAACTGGCAACTGTCAGTTTGCCAGGCGCCCATATGCTGCAGTAGTTATTTAGTTGATGTGCACCTCTGGAGATGTGCCTGGTGTGATACCCCAAGATCCTTTTCCTTGAGTAAGGTTTGTAGCCTTTGCCCTCCCCCCCCAATAGTATGTACTCTGTATGCAGTCTTCTCTGACATTTCCAATCTTCATGACTTTGCACTTGGTGTGAGCTTCGACTCCAGGAGTCGTTTGTTGGACTAGGTTTACAGCCTGTCTAGATCCCTTTGTAGTCCTACCTGATCCTCATTCACTTGAATTCTCCGCATTAGCTTCATATCGTCTGCAAACAGAGGCACCCACTGAATCTATTCCTTCTGTTATGTCATTCATATATACTAGAAACAGCACTGGTCCTAGGACGGACCTTTGTGGAAGCCCGCTCGTTACGGTGTCCACCCTGACACCTCGTCACGTACCATCACTCGTTGTGTCCTTCCTGTCAGGTATTCACTGATCCATTGCAATGCTTTTCTTGTTACTCCTACCTGCTCCTCTAGCCTTTGCACTAATTTCTTGTGCAGAACTGTGTCGAAATCCTTCTTACAGTCCAAGAAAATACAATCTACCTACCCTTCTCTCTCCTGTCTTACTTCCATTACCTTCTCATAAAACTCCAGTAGGTTTGTGACACAGGATTTCCCATCCCTGAAACCGTGCTCGTTATCGTGTATAAACTCATTCCTTTCTAGGTGTTCCACCACTCTTCTGATAATCTTCTCCACGACTTTAGATACTATACATGTCATTGACACTGATCTGTAGTTTAATTCTGCCTGTCTGTCTCCTTGTGGAGAAATTTTCTCCAGGAGGGGGGTATCAGCCCCCTTCAGCCCCTTCAGCCCCTTTCAGCCCTGAGGGGCCCAGACCTCTCAGAAGGGGGAAGCGTCTTGTTTAGTGCTACAGTGAGTAATTGATCACAGATGCCGTACGAGTATGCGACCTGTGGTCAACCGACCATTGCTCCTTGCAGTCCAGTGTTGCAGAGTGTATTTTAATAAGAGACACTACATCTCTTACTTTAGCAGGACAATTAAGGAAAATCCTGCTCCCACTTCGTTACCATAGTAAAGATAGTGGACATTGTTGTCTATGCTTAAGACAGCAAGAATCAAACCTTCTGCTTTGCTTCATCGAGGAAGTGGCAAGGAAGCAAAAAGTACTAGGTCAGCTTTTTTTTTTGTGCAAGGGGCAGTGACGGCATGGGGCGCTGTGGCGTCTTCAGATTACTTTTGACTCTACTGAGAGTGACACTGACGCCAGGATAACCAACAAAGAACGATCTGTGCGTTAGTGTGAACAAAGTGTCTCATAAAACACAATAAACACTTAAGAGAAGTGTGATCAGCTTCTTCAGTGATAACATTGTGAACAATAAAGACAAATCTTGTGGAACATAGTGTACCAGTGTGCGTTTTCTAGACAATGGAAGACGTGGACATCCAAGGACACTTCAGCTTCTATCAAGTCACCGATATCTGTCGAAGGTGTGAAGAACACCATAGCTCACGTTACAAGAGCAAGGTATGTTACGGATTTCTTGTAGAACGGGGGACTGCGCAGTTCTTGAGTCGCAAGGAGTTTGTAATCAACCTATAGTCGGCAGTAAGGTGTGGACTTTTGAGTCCATACAAGTATGTATTTTATCAGCCATCAGTGAATGAAATATGCTGACATAACACCCCCTAGGGGTAATTTATAATCTTACAAATTATAATTCTTGACAGCCCGTTGTGAGATGGTTTCGACAGCTTCTAGACCTCGTCTGCAGGGGCGGCTGTGCAGGCGATGAGTTGTCTTTAAGTTAAGTTTTCACTGTTTAAACTTAGCTGGTAAAGCCATTTCTCAACACTCCTCGTATGTGTGTATGAACTACTTTGTTACGAATAACCTCGTGAATTGCGAAGCTTTTATTACGTATTTAACTGTGAACGATTTTCATAAATAACATTATTACTGTTTTTTTCATCAATTAGCTGATATATAGTAAATTTCTTTAGACATATTTATCCTTATATTATTAAACAATACCTTTTGTGCTTTCTCTGACGCGATGGCCAACTCCTCTTCCATGACGGAGAGTTCTTCCCTTAGTCTTTCCACTGCCAGCGATGCCTCCTGCAACTTGTCCAACCCTGAGGTCATCCTGGTTGCAGACTCTCCGATCTCATCTCTCTTTTCTCTGTAAATCTTCTTATAAATACTGATGAACGACAAGAACGACTTTGGGGTGACGTGAGCTGCACGACGGTACCTGAATACGTTAAAATATTTCACATAAAGAATGACACCAACTTTTATTCATGTTCCAGATATTGTAAATTAAATGAAAAACACCGTCTCTACTATGTTTAACTATGCACAAGTGTCTACAGCTTCATAAACATCCAGTGTAGACATTGTCACATATCAAAACATCAGTCATAATATCATCATTTAAGGACGATGCACACATCTGCGTTAAGTACTACAAGTTGTGTGCAGTAAATCAAGTATCATGGAACAGTATTTGCAAACCTGATTTGCAAACGTGTTTTATACATACATGTATATGTACAACTAGACTTGGTGAGACAGCCCCTGCCTCACTATATATATATATATATATATATATATATATATATATATATATATATATATATATAGATAGATAGATACATATATATATATATATATATATATATATATATATATATATATATATATATATATATATATATATATATATATATATATATATATATATATATATATATATATATATATATATATATGTCGTGCCGAATATGTAAAACTGGTCAATTAGCAAGAACTCATTTAAAATTAAGTCCTTTCTAAAATTTTCTCTTATACGTTTAAAGATATATTTTTTTCATTAATGTTGATGTAAAAATTTATAATTTTGCACCAAAAGGAACTTTGAAAACTTACCTAACCTTATTATAACAAGCGCAATTTGTTTTAGCCAAACCTAACTAAATATATTTTAGATTTGTTTACAATAATTTAATACTAAACAAACACAGTGAAAAATATTTTTTTCTTTAGGTTCGGAATGATTTTGGCGAAATTATTGCATACACAAATTTTCGCTTGTCCTATATGGCAAGATGAACGTTGCTATTTAACTATTTAAGCCAAGATCGCAAGTTCTGCCTATTCGGCACGATATATATATATATATATATATATATATATATATATATATATATATATATATATATATATATAAACACTGATCTCTGGCTGAAGGAGACTCGAACCTACGAACCTTGGAACAAGGTACGCAGTGCTTTACCAATCTACCCACACTGGACCAATACCTTGGAGTCCAGCTTGCACTAGACTTTGATCAAAGGCAGCCAGCTTTCAGGGAGAAGGCTTACAGCTTTTCATCTCATCCTCTGCATGCATCAGCCTTTTTAGAAATATTAACAATGCAAGGAATTCGCAAGAGCAGGCGAAATATACACAAACACTGATCTTTGGCTGAAGGAGACTCGAACTTACGAACCTTGGAACAAGGTACGCAGTGCTTTACCAGTCTACCTACACTGTTTGTGTATATTTCGCCTGCTCTTGCGAATTCCTTGCATTGTTAATATCTCTAGTAAGGCTGATGCATGCAGAGGATGAGATGAAAAGCTGTAAGCCTTCTCCCTGAAAGCTGGCTGCCTTGGAACAAAGTCTAGCGCAAGCTGGACTCCAAGGTATTGGTCCAATGTGGGTAGATTGGTAAAGCACTGCGTACCTTGTTCCAAGGTTCGTAGGTTCGAGTCTCCTTCAGCCAGAGATCAGTGTTTGTGTATATTTCGCCTGTTCTTGCGAATTCCTTGTATATATATATATATATATATATATATATATATATATATATATATATATATATATATATATATATACAGAGAGAGAGCCGGAGGTGGGTGAATGTTGAGCCGGGGTGGAGTGAATGTTGAGCCGGGGTGGGTGAATGTTGAGCTGGGGTGGGTGAATGTTGAGCCGAGGTGGAGTGAATGTTGAGCCGGGGTGGGTGAATGTTGAGCCGGGGTGGGTGAATGTTGAGCCGGGGTGGGTGAATGTTGAGCCGGGGTGGAGTGAATGTTGAGCCGGGGTGGGTGAATGTTGAGCCGGGGTGGAATGAATGTTGAGCCGGGGTGGAATGAATGTTGAGCCGGGGTGGAGTGAATGTTGAGCCGGGGTGGGTGAATGTTGAGCCGAGGTGGAGTGAATGTTGAGCCGGGGTGGAATGAATGTTGAGCCGGGGTGGGTGAATGTTGAGCCGAGGTGGGTGAATGTTGAGCCGGGGTGGAATGAATGTTGAGCCGGGGTGGGTGAATGTTGAGCCGAGGTGGAGTGAATGTTGAGCCGGGTTGGAGTGAATGTTGAGCCGAGGTGGAGTGAATGTTGAGCCGGGGTGGAATGAATGTTGAGCCGGGGTGGGTGAATGTTGAGCCGAGGTGGGTGAATGTTGAGCCGGGGTGGGTGAATGTTGAGCCGGGGTGGAGTGAATGTTGAGCCGGGGTGGGTGAATGTTGAGCCGGGGTGGAGTGAATGTTGAGCCGGGGTGGAATGAATGTTGAGCCGGGGTGGGTGAATGTTGAGCCGAGGTGGAGTGAATGTTGAGCCGGGGTGGAATGAATGTTGAGCCGGGGTGGGTGAATGTTGAGCCGAGGTGGAGTGAATGTTGAGCCGAGGTGGGTGAATGTTGAGCCGAGGTGGAGTGAATGTTGAGCCGGGGTGGAATGAATGTTGAGCCGGGGTGGGTGAATGTTGAGCCGAGGTGGAGTGAATGTTGAGCCGGGGTGGAATGAATGTTGAGCCGGGGTGGGTGGTGAATGTTGAGCCGAGGTGGAGTGAATGTTGAGCCGAGGTGGGTGAATGTTGAGCCGAGGTGGAGTGAATGTTGAGCCGGGGTGGAATGAATGTTGAGCCGGGGTGGGTGAATGTTGAGCCGAGGTGGAGTGAATGTTGAGCCGGGTGGAATGAATGTTGAGCCGGGGTGGGTGAATGTTGAGCCGAGGTGGAGTGAATGTTGAGCCGGGGTGGAATGAATGTTGAGCCGGGGTGGGTGAATGTTGAGCCGGGTTGGAGTGAATGTTGAGCCGGGGTGGGTGAATGTTGAACCGGGGTGGAATGAATGTTGAGCCGGGGTGGGTGAATGTTGAGCCGGGTTGGAGTGAATGTTGAGCCGGGGTGGGTGAATGTTGAGCCGGGGTGGAGTGAATGTTGAGCCGGGGTGGGTGAATGTTGAGCCGGGTTGGAGTGAATGTTGAGCCGGGGTGGGTGAATGTTGAGCCGAGGTGGAGTGAATGTTGAGCCGGGGTGGGTGAATGTTGAGCCGAGGTGGAGTGAATGTTGAGCCGGGGTGGGTGAATGTTGAGCCGGGTTGGAGTGAATGTTGAGCCGGGGTGGGTGAATGTTGAGCCGAGGTGGAGTGAATGTTGAGCCGGGGTGGGTGAATGTTGAGCCGAGGTGGAGTGAATGTTGAGCCGGGTGGGTGAATGTGAGCCGGGTTGGAGTGAATGTTGAGCCGGGGTGGGTGAATGTTGAGCCGAGGTGGAGTGAATGTTGAGCCGGAGTGGGTGAATGTTGAGTTGAATGATTTACAAATTATTACAAAACTTTGGTTATTTACCCAGAAATTAAACAATAAACTCATAAATGAATTAGAATATTTATCAATTATCATCTATCTTAATTTATGACAAATACAAATTTGCTGCCGGCCTAAGTAATTTACCTGGACCTGGAGTTTACCTGGAGAGAGTTCCGGGGTCAACGCCCCCGCAGCCCGGTCTGTGATCAGGCCTCATGGTGGATCAGGGCCTGGTCAACCAGGCTGTTACTTCTGGCTGCACGCAATCCAACGTACGAGCCACAGAACGGCTGGTCAGGTACCGACTTTAGGTGCTTGTCTAGTACCTGCTTGAAGATAGCCAGGGGTCTATTGGTAATCCCCCTTATGTGTGCTGGGAGGCAGTTGAACAGTCTTGGGCCCCTGACACTTATTGTGTTGTCTCTTAACGTGCTAGTGACACCCCTGCTTTTCATTGGGGGATGTTGCATCGTCTGCCGAGTCTTTTGCTTTCGTAGAGAGTGATTTTCGTGTGCAAGTTTGGTACTAATCCCTCTAGGATTTTCCAGGTGTATGTAATCATGTATCTCTCCCGCCTGCATTCCAGGGAGTACAGGTTCAAGAACTTCAAGCGCTCCCAGTAATTGAGATGTTTTATCTCAGTTATGCGTGCCGTGAAGGTTCTCTGTACACTTTCTAGGTCAGCAATTTCACCTACCTTGAAAAGTTCTGTTAGTGCGTAGCAATATTCCAGCCTAGATAGAACAAGCGTCCAAAAGAGTGTCATCATGGGCTTGGCATCCCTAGTTTTGAAGGTTCTCAGCATCCACCCTGTCATTTTTCTAGCAGATGCGATTGATACAATGTTATGGTTCTTGAAGGTGAGATCCTCTGACATGATCACTCCCAGGTCTTTGACGTTAGTTTTTCGCTCTATTGTGTGGCTGGAATTTGTTTTATACTCTGATGAAGTTTTAATTTCCTCATGTTTACCATTTCGGAGTAATTGAAATTTCTCACCGTTGAACTTCATATTGTTTTCTGCAGTCCATTGAAAGATTTGGTTGATGTCCGCCTGGAGCCTTGCAGTGTCTGCAATGGAAGACACTGTCATGCAGATTCGGGTGTCATCTGCAAAGGAAGACACGGTGCTGTGGCTGACATCCTTGTCTATGTCAGATATGAGGATGAGAAACAATATGGGAGCGAGTACTGTGCCTTGTGGAACAGAGCTTTTCACCGTAGCCGCCTCAGACTTTACTCTGTTGACTACTATTCTTTGTGTTATATTTGTGAGGAAATTATAGATCCATCTACCAACTTTTTCTGTTATTCCCTTAGCACGCATTTTGTGCGCTATTACGCAATGGTCACACTTGTCGAAGGCTTTTGCAAAGTCTGTGTATATTATATCTGCATTCTTTTTGCCTTCTAGTGCATCTAGGACCTTGTCGTAGTGATCCAGTAGTTGGCACAGACAGGAGCGACCTGCTCTAAACCCATGTTGCCCTGGGTTGTGCAATTGATGGGTATCTAGATGGGTGGCGATCTTGCTTCTTAGGACCCTTTCAAAGATTTTATGATATTGGATGTTAGCGCTATCGGTCTGTAGTTCTTTGCAATTGCTTTACTGCCCCCTTTGTGGAGTGGGGCTATGTCTGTTGTTTTTAGTAACTGTG